GTGTGTGTGAGCCGTCTTATGAAACAGAAGTGAGAACAGAGAGATGTCTGAGCTGTTAGATCAGACACCTGAAATTTCATGCTCTCACTTTCACTCTAACAAGACTGGCCCACTGTAGTCCTCCAGGGACCTGCAGCCCGTTCCTGCATTACCTATTCTCTCCATCCCTTTCTCTTTTCTCCATCTCTTTCTTTCGCTTTTCATGTCAGGCTTTATTCGTCCATCTGCTTTTCTGCTTTGATCAAGGAACAGTCTGTCGTTACATACCTTCACACTTTTGCAAGCAAGAAAAACGCCTAACTTTCAAACCAAGAAAAAGGGAAAATTGCACCTACAGAAAGTGTTGTTTGTGTGCACATGCTATCTGCATTGTTTTAACACCTTATTTACTTAAAGAGATAGTTCACCCCAAAATTTAATTCTGTCATCATTTCTCACCCTCATTTTAAAGAATGTTGGTAGCCAGACAGTTGCTGGTATGTTGCTTCCATTGTAATTTTTTTCCATACTATGGAAGTCAATGGCTACCATCAACTCTTTTGATGTTACATTTTTCAAAATATTTTCTTGTGTGTACAACAGAAAAAATAAATTCATACAGGTTTGGATTGACATGAGGATGAGTAAATGACAGAATTTTCATTTTTGGGTGAAATATCCCTTTAACCTCTCAACTGTCACGCTAATCATCCTAAATTAGATATATTTTGAAAGCTTGAAACACTTAAAATTAATCTTGTGAAAACTATTTTGTTACTATGAAAATTATACTTTAAATGCTTTTGGCGGGCTCCTCCCTCTAGTGAGCAGTGTCAAGTGCCATGTTACAAAATTTGCTACAGTATTTTATAATCAAAACTTTTAAAAATCTTGACAAAACACATCGTTGGAATGGTCTGAGTCTCAAAGTTCTATATTTGGTGATTATTTTGTGGTAGAAGTAATACTGTGACAGAAAAGTATAACTTTTTGACAGGGAAATGCATCAAAAAGTTCAATTGAGTGTGAGTGTCACCCGGTGACTATTTTTGATATAGCGCCTAAAATCTCACAGGAACCTCTTTTTTTTTTTTTTCTTTTTTTTTGTGATATCAACTTCAAATTTGGAACATAACCGAGTTAGATACATGGCTTTGATTGTATAGCAATTTTACATTCCAAAGTACTTTGTAAAATATTTATTTTATGAGAAAATAGCCTTTTTTTAGTGCAGTACATTTACATGTACATTTCATAATACACATTGTTACACAAGTAGTTTTACTTTACAGAAATCATGCTTTACATCTGCATTTAGCCGATTAGAGCTGGTTTTTGCAATATAGTATATGCACTTTACATAATGTATGTATGCAGATAAAGTTGGATATTATTCACATCCAACTTTATATATTCGGCAATAATATTGTTACATTATGCAATAAAAATAAAAGTCATGGAGTTGAAATTTGCTATATAGATTTACATGAGTGTACTGTATGTATGCGGGTAAGTGGGATATGATATATATATATATATATATATATATATATCAAACTTTACATATAGAGCTGTGCAATAACACAGTCTACATTTTGTGATGATATAAAATAGCACCTGGAACAAAATGCTGGATTGGCCCTCATCGCTTCTTTCATTTACCAGCCATGTCTTTAACTACAAGGCCACTAGAAAGACGACTAAAAAGAAAGGCATGTTCCCCTCATCTCTCTGATAGTGTGCAGCCCTAAGCGCTCTGTTACTTATGTTCCTCATTAACGAGGCTTTTAACGAGGTGGATTTGTGATAATTACAGCTGAGTAAGAATGCCGACACGAGGCGGGGGGTTAATTTTCACCTTTACTTCCGGCGTATAAGCACACTCATCCACGCACACAGTCATCACGGCGAAAAGTTAATGGGTGTTGATGGTGTCAAACAAATTGTGTTCGTGAGCAGACACTGTCAAATACAGTTCAGTCACAGAGGAACGAGCTAAGAATATTTTATAAGAATGAGTAAGATATTTTGCCTTGAGTCACATCAAGAGAGCTGGCTTTCTATGGTACCATATGGTAATGCTACTGTACTTTGCATCATGTTTTTGTATGATAAAATATTATCTTGGTACCTTTAAAGAAAAATCATGATATTACCCTGGTACCATGTCCAAGCAACTGTGGCAATACCGTACCTTTTGTTACTGTATATGAATCATCTTTGAGAGTAAAACTGCATGATGTCCCTCTTTGTCTGTGTGTCTGCAGAAGTGGCAGTGTGTTGAAGACACCACAGGAAAGTTGAGGTTGTCTAAATGCAAAGGCATGGCCAGTCTGTCTGCAGTGCAGAAGCCGTCTGTATCCAGCATCAAAGCACAGATTTATCTGCAGAGCATGAGCACTGATGCCAGCGTGAACTCTGAGCCTCAAGGCTGCAACTGTGAACCCACAAGCTACAGACTGAGCACCTTCTCCAAGAATAAACTGTTCTCCAAAAAGAGTGAGTATGACTAGATACTGAGCTACAAACACACGCAGCAACAAGTCCTCCAAAAAATCATGCAGGAGGCATTAGCTGAATTATTCTCTGTGCCTCTGCTGCCCTCTAGTGGAGGTGGGGCGTAAAAGAAAATGGACTTCTAATTAATATTATCAGAATTGCTGTACAATCCTTATTTTTTACTGTCAGGAAATTTTTAATATGT